TCATTGGCATAGAATCGATAAATAAATAAGAAAATGGCAATGATGTTGCTATTTCATAAGCAGCTTGGAACTTTTTGATTTTAGTTGGGAACATTTGTCTACCGATATTAGTTATTATTGACTTGTCTCGGGGATTTTTGAAACAAACAACATATTGACTATTTAAACTAATATTTCTACTCTCTACGCCTCTCATGAAAAAGTTTTGAGTAACTAAAATCACAGATATGTTTCGATGGTGAGAACCCTTTGTAAAAAGATCACTAATGACTGTTTGATTTGATGCTTCCAACATTAAATCATCAATGACAATCCATTCAGGTTCTTCGCCACCTGCGTTCTTTATTATCTCTTCCTGAAGTCCTTCAATAAACTTTACATTTGGCATTGAATTGAAAACTTTTTGATATTCACCATAAAGATAGGTTATCTTTTTAGGAGGAGGGTGACAAATATGTTGAACTTTATTAATCATATTACGAATGAAAAAAGTTTTACCTGAGCCAGTTGGCCCCGCGATCAACATTGTAAAAGGGTGTTTTAAATAAATTGAGAAGGACATTTTCTAATTTTTGGTCAAAATAAATTTATTTCTTTATATTGTCATTACATTTAAATAACAACTGGGGAGCTTAATGTATTCTGTACGGGGTTTTCCGAGTGATTAGATTTTATCTTTGGGGTTGGAAGTAGAAAACCAAGTGATGATCCAAGTAGCGCTGTCCACAAGGAAAGGTTACCGGTTTTCAAGATGATGTTTGCAATAGAGACAATCAACATTCCAACCAGAACCATTAGTTGAACAGAAAAAAGTACTTTCTTGTACCAAATTTTAGCGTCTTCTCCTTGAGTCATGATGGCAATGGTGATTTGGGGTGTCATTAATGAAGTCCTTTCTTTTATATAAATTTCATTCTTATTTCATAATCAAATAGATCACAATAGTCTGGAATAGATTCTAAATCTTTTAAACCAGTTATAATGATCTTTCCTGTTCTAAATATGATATAAATAACCTTTGATTTATCAAGTTTTAGATGTATTCCTGGAAAGAGTTCAGGTTCATAGGAAGATCCTGGATGATTTAACAGCTTTTGATAATCAAATTCACCGGATATTTGTGAACAAACTGTAATATTTACTATTTTATGTGTACTGTACTTAATCTCATCAGAATATCTTGAACAAAAACGATCAATTAGAATCATTGATGTTGAAATATTTTGCACTCCTGTTACAATAATCTTCCCGGAATCAAATATCAAGAGACAACCATCTAGATACTTCAATATTCCACCCGAAAAACGTTTAGGATATTTTATAAATTGAAATTTTTCTTTTATTTTTTCTCGTGAAAGTTTATTATTTAATGTAAATGATGTTACAATATTAGCTATTGAACAATTCTCTTGTAAGTACTTCATAATCAATGTCTTTTCAATCGATGAATTTCAGTTTAAATACTCCTATTATCTTCGAACGACAGATAGGACAAGAAGCGATACCTGGTGCACAATTGATGCATGTAACAGTGTGTTCACAAGGATAGAAACAAACTCCTACTTCTTTTTCGAGACAAACTTTGCAAACATATCTATTGTTTGATGGTTCAAGCAACGGTGTGTCAGATCTTTTCACTGTTTGAGCTTTCAGACACGATCTGATAAAACTGATTCCACACTTGATATACAGATAGGTGCACCAAGGGGAGCAAATTGCATGGGCTACCCAAATATCATCATCTGGAATCCAATTTTGGATGTGAATACCACAATGAAAACATACAACAGTATCAGTTTCCCCTATGAAAAGAAAACCAGCTTGCGCGAGTTCAGACGGCGATTTGTTTTCATTAGTCCAGGTCTCATAAGTTGATAAGCGACTTTCGAGTGTGATATAATCTGGATACTGTGCTTCAACATCCCGTGAAAAGCAAGTAAACTCATAAGATGAAGTTATTGATGTATGAATTACTTGCAAGTGTTGATTATATGTATCAGGTTCATCATTCGCTTCATTTTGAAATAATTGTAATGATACAGTAAGAGGCTGAAGCTGGGTAACATCTAATATCAACTGAGCATCAGGTATATGGTTTTCACTTACTTGATCCATTTTACATGATAATATACAAACAAGTGAAATTTTTCAGACAATATCGTTCATTTTTTATACACCGAGGGGGAGTTGCTTCTCTCACTTTTAATAGTCTGTCTCAATAACAAACCAGTTTTCATATTTTAGTACAAATCTTAAAGAAGGGAAACTTTCGTTTCCCATCTTTAAGATTTTCTCTATCATCAATAACAATGACTAATAATTTATTATGCTTATTTTACACATGTTCAATTAAACTAATACATAAATTTTTCAATAAATCAATCAGGATTGATCAGTTTTTAATTCTTAAATTTGATCAAATCAATCAAATTAATTAATCAATTTTTGAAAGAATGTGTAAAGGAGTTATCTTGTGTAGAGGGAGTTAGATTGTGTATATTTACTACTACTCTATTCATTTTTTACTTTAGACTGTAACTGGATCAGGACAACATAACGATGGTCCTGCTACGCTTGGTACAGCAATCACCTTCACAGCTCACAATTTTTATAACTATCTCACATCATATGAATACCGATTCAAATTTGACCAGTTTCCTGAACATGATAAAACCATTGTGTCAACTAAAAATGAACTTGAATACACAATAACATTTGAATCATCTTCAACACTTAAACCTGGCAACTATACCGTGCAACTTGACGTTTGGGATCTCGGTGTCCCTTCTTATTCGTTAGGAACTGTTAGTTCCACCTTTCAGCTAACAGGTAACGTTATCGAGTCATCAATCCATTAATATGAACCAAAAGTAAAAAGTTGTAGCGATTTAAAACTTTGACTGCAACACTCTTTTTATCAATTTTTCTAGATTCATTTATTGGATTTATAAAACTAGATCAGAAATTTTATTCTTGCATTACGATGGATGATTTGACTGTTTTCACTGGAAAGCCAACCCAACTTTTTGCTGATATTCGTGATCCATCTGGGTATTTCACCGGACGCTGTGGAATTCACCCGTTCAATGTAACATATAAATGGATTGTTAATGGTGAAGTTCAAGAGGAAAGTTTTAAGGTTATTGAACATACTTTTTCCCAGCCTCAACTGAACAACATTTCAGTGATTGTTACAGCAACTAAAACCAATGGAAGTCGTCTTATACAAAAATCTGGTACATTCAGCACTACATTGGAAAGCAAAGATCCACCTGCTGATGGAAGCCATTTCCCTGGCTGCGATCGAATCATTGATTACTATGAAAATAGTACAAGAGTAATTAAGTAATTTATAATAAAAAATATAATTGTTTAAAATGTATTCATATATAAAATGAGCCTGTTGTTGGGATAGATGAAGCCAATGACTGTCTTTGGTTGGTTCCTCCAGTGATATGGCTGGTTGATGACCATTAAAGTCGGTTTATTAAGACATCTAATTTATTTGCAATATTCAACTCATCAATAAATGCGTCTAATAAAATCAATATCTAAAAAATAACCCAACTTCGACTAATTGATTCCATTATCAAAACTTTGAGAATTTCAGAAAATATTGCAATAATATGCAAATTTTTAAAGTAGTTTTCACAAGATTTAGAGCTTTCAGAGGTCGAAAATTGTCATCGTTATAGTCTCGTGGTGCATGAATAATAGAATGAAAGGAAAAATCTCTTGAATCTCTATCAGAAGCTTTGAGTGAAAAACTCATTTACATTTCTTCATGGATCAAAACTCCGATGGCAGCTTCATATCATAGTTTACAAGCGGTGATGACCTGGGTCAGTTATAAAGGTAAACCACAACAGATGGCGAGCTAAAAGTTGCTTTAACAGAGTACCGATGTAAGATGCATTTGAAGACTTTGTTTGATCGCCACTCAATGAATGTTTCGATAGCTTACCATTTCATTAGTATATCAACTTTCGAGGCTCGATCTCTTTTAAGCACACTATGCTATGCCACCCAATAAATGAAATTGTTCAGCATCTTTGTAGCATCTTAATAATGAATTTCATGTTAGCTTGATTAATGTAATAATCAAATTTATGTTTTCTTGTTGGTTTTCCTCAATAAAATCAATGAGAGATGAAAACTTTTTTATTGAAAAAATGGTTTTATTGAAACGTCAAGTATTTGATTAACAAAATTATAAAACATTCTAATATTATTCATTACTTCTGTCCTTTATTACAGTTATCGCAATGTAACGAAAGTTACGGACACAATAAAGTTAATGCACAATGCAAAGGTTTACTGTCTAGGATGACTTTAATCAATTCAATAAGGGGATTCATACATTGTGGGGGCTAGGGATTTTGTAGTAGCGTAACTGAGTTGATTTAGTGCTGAGTTGGAACTTATCTTCTGAACATTAATGAGTTCTTTTATATTAATGATCATGGGAGCAGTTTACGAGATAACTTCATATTAGGGTTTTAGGAATAATCAAATAGAGTTCATATTTGGTAATCAATACCGAGAGGAAGCATTCCTTATTTAGGTGAATGAGCCATGAGAAAGGAAGTTTTTCTCATTACATCACCCCGCGCTAATCATAAAATTGGTCTCCAATTTGGCGAGCATACTCATATGGACAAGGTGTAAGAATCAATGATACGGATCAATCTACCAAAGAGAGGGAGAATATCGAAGAAGGAGTTCCTTTTCATAACACTGGGGAATACGACGGTGAAAATACCATGAAAATTTATGAACGAAACACTTAGCGGCATCTTGGACTCCCGATAACTAGATATTTACATTGGTACTCTTAAAAAATAAGTTTAAACGTAGCGCCTTCAAGCCAATTGGATTGTTGAAACGGTCCCCGGTTTTCAACCATGTGGTAAAGTAAACTCATGTAGTACAACAACAACATCTACAGTTTTCATACAGTTATATACATATACTTTAATTTTTTTTTTGTTTTTTTTTTGTTTATTTTGGTTATTATTTTATTGTATCCCCGTGTCATAATGTCACCAGGCGAACTGGGTATACTTCTACTTTTTGTTTTCTCCATTTCTCCCTCTGGTAAGATTTGTTTTCTATGATTTTATCATTCTTTACACTCTCGGGAGGCCCATAGCTCTTTCCTAAAGCTCCCCTACGCCATTTTTTTTTGTTTGGTAGCGCCATCTCTACTCGGCGGCTAGAACCACCTAGTTTTTTGTGCCATATTCAAAACTAGTTGTTATAATTGAATGGTATGGCGTAGGGCATGCAAGTACTTATAACATAATATTCTTATTTTTTTCAGTAAACGCACAAAATCAAATCTCTGAGAGTTTGCCAGCAGCGCCTGTTGATGACGACGCTGGTACTTCCGAATACTCCTTTTCCTCAACTACTGGTGGCGTTCCTACGCCTAGCGATGGGTCGCTTTCGGACGCCTTAGAGATAGACTTCCAAATTCGACCTACAGCTGACAGTGGGAACAGCGGTGTAAATCTTGTTGGAGGCGACGGTACGAATGTTGATGGTGATCCTGATGGTAATCTTGGAGGTAATAATGGAGGTAATGATGATGCTAATCCTAACGGTAATTCCGATGGTAATGCTGGAGGTAATGCCGGTGGTAATGCCGGTGGTAATGGTGGAGGTAATGCTGGAGGTAATGATGAGGGTAATCCTAACGGTAATTCCGATGGTAATGCTGGAGGTAATGCCGGTGGTAATGGTGGAGGTAATGATGAAGATAACGGTGGTAATGCCGGCGGTAATAGTGAAGGTAATGGGTTGATGAGCACCAGTCAATCGACAAGTCATACTACAAAAAGACGAAAAAAATCACGCAAAGGGAAGAAAAGGAACCATCAACAGCCACCAGAACCAACCGTAGCTGTTCCTATTAAACAAACGGTCCGCGGCGAAGCATCTATGGTGTATTTCCCGGTTTCTACTCCTCTATTTGCTCGTACACCAACTGGTATACTTAAGGGTGGAGAATGGGAACGTTCACTGATCCCAGAAGACCGATTTGTTGATCCAGTAGATTTGGACACGATGGAGGAAGTCAGTCTTCAAAAACTTAAGGAATGGGCCGGAATTGATGCTAGTGACGAGGAAGATGATAGGAAATTGTTAATTAATCAGGAAAAGGCCTCGAAAGCTTATGCACGCGACAATTGTTATTTGTGGCAATGTGCATATTGTCCTAATACTTATACTGACATACACTGCGCGACATATTTTTTCGTAATGTATTAAATTGTTTGATTTAGGCGGTAAAAATGGGTTAATTCTCATAGGAATTTTTATGTTGTTAAGGCAATTTAAAATCAAAAGCACATGTTTAATCATATTTTCATAAACAATAGTAATTTACCTTAAATACAAGCAAATCATCAACTAGTCATTCAATCAGTGCGACAATTTTTTTCGTTTTTTCTACTTTTTCGGCCTCTAACTTCGGTAAGACAAACAATTTCGATAAATTTGATTTAAATACTTATAATATGTCTTTTTCATCATCAGATATGTATTCTAAAGATTTCATTTCAAAAGTAAAGGAACTTTATGAGAGGGAGAAAAGTTACTCAAAAGTGGCCAATATTCTGGAAATACCGCTAAATACAGTCCGTTATATGGTCAAAAACAATTACAATAGAGTTAAGAAAAAGACAGGACCGAGAAAGCTGATTCTTAGAGCTGATACAACCCAAATCAAGAGAACAGTAAGAAAGTTAAATCAAGCTAACGCTAAAGTAACTGCTGCTAAGGTCATATCTGAGACAGGAATTCAGGTAAATAAACGCACAATGCAAAGAGAGCTTGCAAGACTTGGGTTTAACTACAAAAAAGGAACTCAAAAGATCATTCTTAGCCGTCAACATAAGCAAAAAAGATTAGAATTGTGTGAGAAATGGATTGCCACCAATCACGACTGGACTCGAACAGTATTCACTGACGAAAAAAGATTCTCTTTTGATGGACCTGATAACTGGTCAAGTTATATTGATGCAAATCGGAATTTAGTTCGTCAGAAACGTCAACAAGGTGGTGGGTCTATCATGGTATGGGGATGTGTAACTTATGATGGTTTTATTTTA